GTCTGTATATGTTTTTGATTGCTGTTTTTTTGCTTTGATTTTGTATGTTATTTTTTTCGGGGGGAGGGGGGTGCTTATCGGAGGTGAGGGGGTGAGATCGAACGGGAACGGAGAGCCCCCTGAACCGGGAAATCGGTTTCGGCTTCGCGTTCGTGCATGCCGTGCGTGCGGGCGGAGCGCAGCTGCGTGGGCGGGCGAGAACTAAGTGTCCTGCAGCTGAGGCGCGGCCCGACCAAAAGTCTCCCTTCCGGCAACCGGTGCCCCGCGGTGTCCCGCCGGTGTCCCGCTCGGGGGCCGTTGGCGCGCGGTGTCCAGCCGGTGTCCCGTCGGTGTCCTGATGATGATGATGATGATGATGATGATGCTGTTGATGATGTTGACAGTGATGATGATGGTGATGGTGGTGATGATGGTGTCCCGATGCTGATGATGATGATGATGTTGACGATGTTGATGATGATGATGATGATGATGGTGGTGAAGGTGATGATGGTGCCCCGATGATGATCATGTTGATGATGATGATGATCTTGCTGATGATGACGGTGCCCCGATGATGATGTTGATGATCCTGATGATGTTGATGGTGATCAGATGATTTGGTGAAGATGGTAAAGATGATGATGGTGTCCCGATGCTGATGATGATGATGAGGTTGATGATGATGATGATGATGTTGAAGATGATGGTGATGGTGATGATGATGGTGTCCCGATGATGATGATGATGATGATGATGATGATGATGATGATGATGATGATGATCAGAATGATGATGGTGGTGTCCCGATGATGATGATGTTGATGATGATGAAGTCATGTTGATGGTTTTGATGATGGTGGCCCGATGATGGTCATGGCGATGCTGATGTTGATGATGACGGTGTCCCGGTGATGTTGATGATGATGGTGATGATGATGATGGTGACGATGATGATGGTGTTCCGATGATGATGTTGTTGATGATGATGATGTTGCTAATGATGATGATGATGTTGATGGTGTCCCGATGATTATGATGATGATGATGATGATTGTGAGATCGATTGTGATATCGATAGTGATACCGATAGTGAGACCGAACGTGAGATATATTGTGAGATCGATAGTCATACGGAGTGCGAGATCGATCGAATGGAATAGATCGAGTGGTATCGATTGTGAGACCGATCGAGTGAGGTCGATCGAGCGAGACCAATGGTGAGATCGATCGTAAGATCGATAGTGAGACCGATCGAGTGAGACGTCGGTTCCTCACCCCCCGAACCTTCTTATCACCCGAAGGGTGGTCGTATAGGTACGCGTATATCTCGGAAGTTGGGGGTGAGTCCGACGTGCCCAAAACCCCGACGTGTTTTTGTGTCTTTATATGTTTTTGATTGCTGTTTTTTTGCTTTGATTTTGTATGTTGTTTTTTTCGGGGGGAGGGGGGTGCTTATCGGAGGTGAGGGGGTGAGATCGAACGGGAACGGAGAGCCCCCTGAACCGGGAAATCGGTTTCGGCTTCGCGTTCGTGCATGCCGTGCGTGCGGGCGGAGCGCAGCTGCGTGGGCGGGCGAGAACTAAGTCTCCTGCAGCTGAGGCGCGGCCCGACCAAAAGTCTCCCTTCCGGCAACCGGTGCCCCGCGGTGTCCCGCCGGTGTCCCGCTCGGGGGCCGTTGGCGCGCGGTGTCCCGCCGGTGTCCCGTCGGTGTCCCGATGATGATGACGATGATGATGATGATGATGATGATGCTGTTGATGATGTTGACAGTGATGATGATGGTGATGGTGGTGATGATGATGGTGTCCCGATGCTGCTGATGATGATGTTGACGATGTTGATGATGATGATGATGATGATGATGATGATGGTGGTGAAGGTGATGATGGTGCCCCGATGATGATCATGTTGATGATGATGTTGCTGATGATGACGGTGCCCCGATGATGATGTTGATGATCCTGATGATGTTGATGGTGATCAGATGATTTGGTGAAGATGGTAAAGATGATGATGGTGTCCCGATGCTGATGATGATGATGAGGTTGATGATGATGATGATGGTGATGTTGAAGATGATGGTGATGGTGATGATGATGGTGTCCCGATGATGATGATGATGATCAGAATGATGATGGTGGTGTCCCGATGATGATGATGATGTTGATGATGATGATGTTGATGATGATGAGGTCATGTTAATGGTTTTGATAATGGTGGCCCGATGATGGTCATGGCGATGCTGATGTTGATGATGACGGTGTCCCGGTGATGTTGATGATGATGGTGATGATGATGGTGACGATGATGATGGTGTTCCGATGATGATGTTGTTGATGATGATGATGATGTTGCTAATGATGATGATGAAGATGATGGTGTCCCGATGATGATGATGTTGATGATATTGTTCACGATGATGGTGATGAGATGATGCTGATGGTGGCGGTGTTCCGATGATGATGATGATGGCGTTCCGACGATGATGATGTTGACGATGGTCATGATGGTGACGATGATGGTGTCCCGATGATGATGGTGATGATGTTGATGATGATGGTGGTTAGGTGATGATGATGATGATGATAGTGTCCCGATGATGCTGATGATGCTGATGCTGATGACGTTGATACCGATGATGTTGATGATGATGATGACGTTGTTTGTGATATCGATTGTGATATCGATAGTGATATCGATAATTAGACCGAGTGCGATATCGATTGTGAGATCGATGGTGAAATCGATCGTGAGATCGATTGTGAGATCGATCGAATGACCTAGATCGAGTGATGTCGATTGTGAGATCGATCGAGTGAGATCGATCGAACGAGACCGATACTGAGATCAAGAGTGAGATCGATTGTGAGACCGATCGAGTGAGACGTCGGTTCCTCCCCCCCGAACCTCCTTATCACCCGAAGGGTGGTCGTATAGGTACGCGTGTATCTCGGAAATTGGGGGTGAGTCCGACGTGAAACGGAGACCCCCCTACCGGGAAATCGATTTCGGTTTCGGGTTCGTGTCGTGCGTGCCGTGCGTGCGTGCGGGCGAAGTGAAGCTGCGTGGGCGGGCGAGAGAAAATCCTCCTGTGGCTGGGCCGCGGCTGGACCAAATGTAACTCCTCCGGCGGCCGGTGCCCCGCGGTGTCCCGCCCGTGTCCCGAAATGCTCCTGTGTCTGGGCCGCGGCCGGACCATATGCAACTCCTCCGGCGGCTGGTGCCCCGCGGTGTCCCGCGGGTGTCCCGTGGTGTCCCAAAAAATGAGATCGATAGTGAGATCGATAATGCGATGGACAGGTGTCCCGTGGTGTCCCGTGGTGTCCCGTTGATTGAGATCGATATGAGATCAATAGTGAGATCGATGTGGTGTCCCGAGGTGTCCCGTTGAGTGAGATGGATAGTGAGATCGATAGTGAGACCGATAGTGAGATCGCGAGGTGCCCCGCGGTGTTCCGTGGTGTCCCGTTGAGTGAGATCGATAGTGAGATCGATAGTGAGATCGACAAGTGCCACGTGGTGTCCCGTGGTGTCCCGTTGAGTGAGATCGATAGTGAGATCGATTAAGTCAGATGCTGGTTTCCCCCCCTCTCCCCCCCCCACAACCTCCTCATCACCCGGAGGGTGGTCGTATAGGTGAATATATATCTACATAATATATGGATATATATAATATGTATATATCTAGATATATATATTATAGATGCTCCACCCGAGGGCCTGACCAGAAGGCGCGAGGGAGAGGCGAGTGAAGAGGGAAGCCCCGGAGCTCTCGCCGATCTCTTTTACATATCACTCCAGATCTGGCAACTGGTCGCCTCCACGAGGCAATCTCGCTAGAAGAAGGGCTGGCTGAATACAAACCCGCCTGCAGCCTCAGAGAGGCTAGACGATTCAAAGGCTCCCGGGAGCTCCGAAGAGTAGACGAGCAGACGATTTGGAAAGATTCAGCAGCCGCCACCAAGGAAAAAGCCCACCTTTTTACACAGGGCAGGGTGGGACGGGTCACTGTGAGCCAATACGATTAAGGAGGAGGCCAGGGGAGGAGAGGGAACGCATCAAGACATTCACAACCCCTCCACAGGCGGTGGAGACACGAGGCGTCACCACGGGTCAGAAACTGCACTCCGAATCTACAATCGTGCAACTGATGAATAGATGCTCCACCCGAGGGCCTGACCAGAAGGCGCGAGGGAGAGGCGAGAGAGGAGGGAAGCCCCGGAGCTCTCGCCGATCTCTTTTACATATCACTCCAGATCTGGCAACTGGTCGCCTCCACGAGGCAATCTCGCTAGAAGAAGGGCTGGCTGAATACAAACACGCCTGCGGCCTCAGAGAGGCTAGACGATTCAAAGGCTCCCGGGAGCTCCGAAGAGTAGACGAGCAGACGATTTGGAAAGATTCAGCAGCCGTCACCCATAACCCATATTATGATTCACGGGTGGGCGGGATGGGCACAATTCACAGAAAAAGATCGTAAAAACTCTCTTCGAATTTCCTTCCGGTCGGAGGTCTGGCCGTCGAATGCTGTGATCAAGGGCTAGTCTGGAAGCGCACTCCTGTGGCTCGAAGCAGCTTCTGTTCGAGGCGATTGGCGGCACGTTTGAACTGCTGCTGCTGCTCAGGAGAGAGGCGGCTGATTTGCCTCAGGAGTCGACCTTCTTTGCCGTACCTCGCCACGGAGCGGTCGCTGAGCCAGCCGCCGCGCTTCTTCAGCACTGGAAGCGTGGCGAGGCCGTTCAGGTAGTCGAGGGAAGGGCCGCCGTGCCGCAGCGTGTGCGGCGACACTTTCAGCGCTGCCAGCCCCAGTCGGCGGCTGGCCTCGCGGAACAGGCGCTCGTAGGTGGACAGCGGGAGCTCGTTGAACAGGCGCTGGACCCCCCGCGCTCTGGCTCTGGCAATAGCTGTCGAACAAGCTGCCGAAGCCAACCACGAGATCGGTCGATAGACCCGACCATCACGGTGTCGTCAAACTGCTGATTCTTGTTAGGCCGAGGTGCTGTGCCACTCGAAGGGGCCACGATCAGCGCCACCTTGTCATAGCGGTCGCCAGCCCTGCCCGAGGGCAACGCCACGTGCTCGAGGGACAGGTTGACCGCAGCCGCTGGACGGAGGTAGGTGTCGAACTGCAAGGCGCCGCAGGCAGCGGCGAGGATGGACTCGGTCGTGCCCAGCTCGAGCCAGTGGTCGGCGATCGCGGCGAACACCTCCCAAGGGCACGGGTCGCGGCTGAGCTCTGGGCAGGCTTTCACCCAGCCCGCCAGAGCTTTCACGGCATGTGGCAGGTTGCGCGAAGGCGCAACGACGCCGTGCAAGTGGGCGTAGCCGAACAGGGTGTGCCGACCAGCCCACGGCTCACAGCCGTCGAAAAAGAGAAAGTCAAAGTACGCGGAGAGGCTGGCGTCTAGCTGCTCGAGAGGAGCCAGCGCCCGGGGCGGGGCCTGCTGGCTGGCCCAGTGGACGAAGTCTGAGGAGCACGACTCGTAGTTGACGAGCGCCCCCTTCCCAACGGTCTTGCGCTCCAGAAACCTGTCGCCGGGGTCGTGTCCCGCGGCGGCCCGTCGGCAGGCCGCCTTAGCAGCACGTCGCCGATCTCGATCTGGTAGCTCCGCGCCGAGGGCCGACCCAGACCACGCGCTGGCCCCAGTGCTTGACGGCGTTCTTCCACGGGCTCTGGTAGCACCTGGGGCAGTGGAGCCTGAAGACGTCGGACGGGATCGGGCAGCCTCCGGCTCGCGCCAAGTCAGCTTCCCATCGCTCCAGCGAAGTGGCATCGGCCCCGCGGGCCGCGTCTGGAGCCGCCCGGGCCAAGATGGCTGCCCAGGAGCGGCAAAGTCGAGGAGGATAGCGCCCTGCCAGAGTCGTCTTCCAGGCCCACCGCCCCCGAGCCTCGCCGGGCCCTGGAGGCAGAAGGACTTTCCCTTCAAGAATCTCATGATGATGGTTTCCTGGACATAGACGATGTAGCCCCTGAAGGGCCTGCATGTTGGTGGCCAGGAGGGTCGGCTTGAGATATCCCGCACCGTATGCACAGTTATCGTATCGGACAAAGATCGCGTTCTGGCTCTGCAGCTCCTTCCTAAGGGGCTTCCAGGAGAAGAGCCTCGAGGAACGCGGGTTCTCGAGTGAGTAGAGGACGCCATACTGCTTGCAGAGTTTGATGAGCCCCAACGAGAACTTGGCCAACTGGAGGCCCCCAAGAGCGGCTGAACTCGAGCCCGTCGTGCGGGCCCTCGACCAAGTAGTGCGCGGAGTCCCCAGGTGGAGGTACCACACGAGCCCCTGCTTGACCAAGCCCTTGATGTGCCTCTGGGTCCTCTGCCTCGAGACGTCCATGTGGGGGCCCCTCGAGATCTCGATGGGGCACCCGATGTTGAGGTCGGCCTCCTGACAGGCGGCGGAGAAGGCGGCGCAGCCGGCGAAGATCTCCAGGACGAACTGATGCTGAGCTGACGTCTTGACGACAGGGCTGTTGCTTTTTCTGTGCTGCTCAGTCCGTGCTCGCGGGCCCCGCTGGCGGGTGCGTCGGCGGGGCCGCGCCGCGCCTGGGCTGCATGGAGCGGCAAAATGCGCGCGAGGCCCCATGCGCCCAAGAGGTGACCGCCGTTCAGGCGGAGTCCGAACCCTCGTAGGGGTCGGGGGGGCTGCGGGCGTCTGCCGAGGCCCCATTCGCCCCAGCCCCGACCGCGAAGGCGGCGGTCGGCGGATCCGAGCGCTGGCTCGGGCTGGGGGCGAGTCGGGGACCCGCGAGCATCGCTGAAGCAGCGCCCGGCCGTGCCGGCCAGCGACAGAGGCCCCGGCAGGCAGCTCGCCTCGATCGGCCGCCCTCGAGTCGAAGTCGGTCGGGTTCCTCTTGCTCTCCACGTAGCGAAGGGACCAGTCGAGCTCGCAGCCGATGGAGAGGGCCCCGGCGCGCTGGCACAGGCGCCGAAGGGCAAAGCTGCCCGAGCGCCCCTTCTCGAAGCTGCAGAGGCTCGAGAGGTTGTCCCCGATCGAGAGAACTCTCCTCCCGTGAAGCCCGACACACCTCGAGGCCCGCACCAGGCCCATGAGCAGCACGCGGCCCTCCTTCTCATGGATGACACCGTCGTGCTGCCACGCGCCCTTGATGACCATCGCCCAGCGCTTGCTCGCGAGCAGCGCGTCCGGCAGCGGCGGGATCCCCACCTCCTCGGCCGGCCGCTCCACGGTCTCGATGTCGCGCCACGGCCGGCAGCGAACCGCGGGTCCGCCGCCGAGGTCGCGAGGGCCGCCACCGAGAGACCCTGCCGGGTCTGGCGAGGCTCGCCACTCGGCCGACCAGCCGCCCACGGCCCCCCAGCCATCGTCGCTCCGCTCGACCGCGTCGAAGCGCCACCGCTCTCGGTAGCGCGCCACGGCCCGAAACTCGGGTCCCGAGACGGAGGTGACGTGCCGCGCGTAGCCCACGGCAGAGGAGTCGCCGCAAAAGGCGACGCTGGCAGGCTCTGCGCTGAGACGGGCCTCGGCCAGGAAGACGAGCCAGGAGGACACTTCCAGCTCCCACCGGACGGACGCCCACAGGCGAACCTCCTTGCCGCCGCTCTCGGACATGAAGGACCAGACCTTGTCGAGCGCCGAGAGCCCGAAGCGCAGCAGCTGGCAGTGATGCACGATGTGGCCGACCAGAACCTGCAGGACGAGCCCGCTGCAGCGGCCTCGGCGCAGCACGGCGCGCAGCGCCAAGTGGAGCCGCCAAATGCGCCGAGGCTTAGGACGTAGCAGACGACGCCGGCCATCAAACTCCACCCCCAGCAGCTCGAGCGTCTCGGCGGGCGAGTTCTCCTCGTGGTAGTGCAGCCCGCTCTTGTCGAGGTCGCCCTTGACGGCGTCCAGGGCGCGCTGCGTGGCGGCTCGGCTGAGCCCGATGACCCCAGAGGTCTGGAAGGACTGTTTTTTAGTCCGGTGATTATGTTATGTATGTTGGTCATTATTTATAGTCCCCTTACATATTCGTGTTACATGGTAGTTCGTTAGTTATATACAGTTATTGTTTTTTTTTGCTCTGCGCGAAAATGATTGACGGTTTGAGCCAAGATGGCCAGTGGATACACGATCGCGCACGCACCTTCTTGAGCCATAACAAGAGAGCACGGCTCGAGGAGGATGGAGGAAGAGGTCGAGGAGGATGAGGGCGAGGTCGAGGGGACGAGGGAAGGGGGAGATGGAACGAAGTAGTGGAAAAAGGGGGCACGAGTGTGCGTGGACCGTGACATGCATGCAACGCTTGGCTTTCGAAAACCTTTCCAGGCCCCAGGGCTGTCCAGGAGCGAAAATATCTGCCCGCGGGAAGGGCGCGACGCACTGGTCATCAAAAACCAAGCATTGTGCATTATGGGGGCAATTCCACGCGCGCATCTTGCACATGGTTGTAGAAGAGGATGATCGGGGAGGAAGGGGGGGGCGAAGGGGGGGGAAGATGATAAGAACGAGAACGAGATAAAGTATGAAAGGGGGGATGGGGAGGACGATAAAGGAGAAAGAGGATAGGGAGGAGGAGGAGGAGGAACAAAAGGGGGATGGGGAGGATGAGTAGTCGTAGTAGCAGTAGTCATAGTAATCTAGTGACGGTGAGTGCGTGGAGTGGTTACAGGCAAGCTACCAAGTAGGAATGGTAGGTATGGTATATTAGGGCATGATCTGGTAGCGTCGTAGTAGGCAGGACGGCAGGGACGGAGGAGGCAGGAGGAGGGCATATGAGGGGGAGGGGGGTGTGGGTGGGGGGGGGGGGGGGGGGGGGGGGGGGGTGGGGAGGGGGGGGGGGTGGGGGGGGGAACATGAGGAGGGACAAGACGATTATGAATAATAATAATAAGAAGGACATGACCATTAATAACACGAAACGTAAGAAGCATACTGCGACGAAGACGAGGAGAATGGGGAGGGGGAGTTGGATGGGGGAAGAGGAAGATGAGGAAACGAAGGAGGGAGGGAAACAGTAGGAGGAGGAGGTGGAGTAGGATAAGGAGCAGGAAACGCATGAAGAGGAGGAGAAAGAGGAAGAGAAATATGACGACGCGCAGGAAATGAGAGACATCACAATTTCCACGCGGCGACAGGCCGCAGGTCGTCTGTGCTGCACCTGCGCCCGTGATTGACGCGCGGCGGCGGCGGCGGCCGCCGCCGCGTCTGGCTGGCCTCATCGGCTCCTCTGGCCGCGAGTCCTCCTGCGCCTCCTCCGCCGCCTGCCGTCTCCTCCTGGGCTCTTGGCCACGACCCGCGCTCCTTGGCGCAGTCCTTGCTCGCTCGTTGGAGCGCCCCTGGATGAATCGGTCCTCGGCGTGCCTCCTTTCACTAGCGATGGTGATCCGTTGTGCCGCCTGACTGTGATGCCATCCTCCGTGATGACACTGATGTTGCCCGTCTTGCCTTTGAAGGCGACGTCGTCGCCGACGCAGCCGCGGCGCTCGAATCTGTGCACGAGGCCGCCCTCGTGGGAACAGATGCACGGCCGCGTCGAGCAGAGACGGGAGGCAAGGTGGACGTGGGCGACGGGGGAGGAGGATTGATGAGGAGGAGGAGGAAGGGACGGAAGAGGATAATGGTGATGATCGTGGGAGTGAGGGGGAGGAGGCGGCGGAGGGCTGATGAGGAGGAAGAAGAGGAGCAGGATGATTAGATGAGAAGGGGGGAGTGGATGAGGAAGACGGAGGAGGATGACGGGGAGGACGAGGAGGGTCAGGAGGAGGATGCGGTTGGTACCGATCATCGATTGTCACCGCTAACGGTGAACATCGATGAGTGTCGGTGACCACCGCCGTTGTGCGATGGACGGGGATGCAGCGCGAGCGAGGGTCCTGCGCATCCGCTGTCCTCCTCGGCAGCTTCCAGCAGTCTGGCGCACTTCCCGGCGCCTCCTCACCCACTCGCCACGCCGCCCGTGTTCCTCTCAGGAGCAGCTCGGCCGGCCTGCTTCACTAAGAGGAATAGGAGGCGAGAGGAGGGCAACACATAACATCGCGCAAAAAAAAAAAAACGAAAAAAAAAAAACAAAAAAAAAAAAAATAAATAAAAAAACAAAAAAAAAAAAAAAAAACAAAAAAATAAAAAAAAAAAAAAATAAAAACTAACAAAAAATAAAAAAAAAAATAAAAAACGGAAACACGCGAGGAGGGATTGATGACTCCAACCGTGTAGTCGGGGTAGGTGTAGTCGGAGCTGTGGCTGGAGCCCTCCACCTCGCTCAGCGCAGTGCCTCCTCCATGGGCGCCCTCGCTGTGCTGGCTGCTGCGCGCCGCCTCCGCCGTCTGCATGGGCGTGCTCCTTGGCGCATGGCTCCGACCACGCTGTCCAGCATCGTCCGACACAGGCACCACCGTGCGTACCGAACACCTGGAGCTGCTAGCAGGTATCTCTGTCGGACTTGGCAGCTCAGTCGGAGTGGGTATCTGAGTCGGACTGGACGGCGGCAGCCTCGACGCGGGCTCGGCGCGGCACCCCTCCGATTTCACCTCTGTCGACAACAGGGGGCGCATAGAGGAGGAGAAGGAAGCGGGTGAGGATGCGGATGATAAGGATGAATTTGAGGAGGCCGATTACACCGACGAGAATGAGAGATAACGAAGATTATCAGGACTAATCGGAACATTACTAGCATATGACAATGCGAGGAGGAAGAGGACGAGACGGATTAGAATGACGGGGATGACCTCAACGTCGTCGTCGACGGTCGCCGCCAATGCCATCTGCACGTCCAACAAGTATTGCCGATCGAGCATCTCATCGGTCTCGGCCACTAGATCCTCAGTTGCCGTGTCCACAGCGACTAGTTGTCTCCTCTGCCTATCTTTCTGCGTGCCGATCAGCTCGCCGCTCAGAAGACGTTCTCGTAGTACTGCTTCGCGATGCTGATTGGCCGCGGTCGCCATCGCCTTGGCAGATCGCCGCGTGTCCTCCTCAGCCTTTGCCATGTAGATACGCTCCATGCGCTCTGCCCGCCTGGTGTCGCGCTCCTCCTGCTCCCGCTCCCTCTTCCGTGCCCGCAGCAGCTGCATTGCAGCCTCGAGGCGATCTGCGTCGACGGCGCTGGCGTCGCCGTCCACGTCCACGATGTCTGATCGCCATGTCGCCCGCGCCATCCTCCGCGGCGTCGTGCTCCTCCTCATCCTCCTCCTCCGATCAGCGCTATCATCATCGTCACGTTCTCGGCGGCGGCCTCGACTCTCGCTCCGCCGCCTAGCCCTCCTGCCTGTGGATGAACGGGGCTGGGTGGGTATATACCGGGGGTGGGGAAGAGTGGTATTGGGATGGTGAGTGAGAGGATGCCCACCTTCTGGCCGAGAGCCAACCGCGCTGGCGCTGACCAGGATGAGCCCCCGCCCGCCGTGGCCAGATGGCATTCGCCGCGGTGCCCCCCGTCTCCGCGCGTGGCGGGGGGATGCGCCCGAGGCGCTCGAAGCCCAAGTGGCTGCGGGGGCAGCAAAAATCAAAAAAAAAAAAAAAAAAAACAAAACAAAAAAAAAAAGAAAAAAAGAAAAAAAAAAAAACGAAAAAAAAATGAAAAAAAAAAAAAAAAAAAAAAAAAAAAAAAAAAAAAAACCACAAGAACAAAAAAACCAAAGCAAAAAAACAAAAAAAGCAGAAATAAAAAACACAAAAAGAAAACAAAAAGCAAAAACACAAAAAAAACAAAAAAAAAAAAGAACACAAGGCAGCGGGTGGGATCCCCCGACCGCCCCCTTCGACGTGATCGACAGCCCCCTCCTCCTCCCTCCTCGTCGTCGGTGTCCTCATCGGCATCCGTGCCATCATCCCCCCTCGTGCTCATCTTCCCACATGCCTCCTCCATTCCCCGTCATCTGCATCCCCGCCTCCTCCAGGCCGTCACGTGCTGGACATATGTCGGTTGCGACCCCACGCGCGCGCCCCCCCGTTGCAACCGAGCCAGACCCAGGGAGTCTGCGGAAACACGGCTGGCCTGTGACGGGTTACGATGGTGATGAGGTTGCTGATGGTGATAGTGATGATGGTGGTGTTGGTGGCGCGCAAGTTGATGATGTTGTTGATGACGATGGCGATGGCAACGATCATACATATGCTAATGTTGAGTGTGATGGGTACGATGCTGGTGTTGGTGATGCCAATGACGATCGTGATGGTGGCTGCGTTGCGGATGAAGCTGCTGAATGTACACATGAGGATGTTAATGTTGATGATGATGGTGATGATAATGGTGATGGCGGTGAGTGCGATACCGATGGTAGTGGCCATGATGATGACGATGCGGGGATGATGGGTTGATCAGGAGCCCGATGAGGTCTGGCCAATAGAAATAATTCCACCCCCAGGGTCGCGCGACGGTTACTGCTGCACGGGAGGAGCAGCATATAAAAGATGGTGGTGACAGGGAAGAGCAGGAGCCCCATCAATAGGGTTAGGCCTGATTGGGGCGATGGTGGCTGGAGGGTGGACAGGGGGGCGACATGCGTCTTATGTGCGCCAGACTTGCCGGTGTGCGCTAGCATCTACGTCAACATGTGCATGCGAGCGAACGCTGTCGGTGATGTTGGCCGACCTGTCATCTGCGATTGTGTAGTTCACGTGTGATATACAGTGCCCGTATACTAGTGATGCGACGCGGGTCACTGGTGCGCCTGTGTCTAACGACCCATATCCATGCAGCCCCCGACAACGTTCGCCCGCCCGAGACACCCCCAAACCTCAGCGCGCGCTCATGGAGCGCCCGCTGCCAGACAACAAGACGCGAACCACGATGTGCGCCAACATGGCGCAGAAGTCGCTCGGGTAGTGCGCAGACGAACTCATGGCAGACCTGCGGCCGTTGTACCACCCCTTCTTGATCCACCCAGTCGCACCAGTACTCTTGAACCTACGGCCCACTG